CTGCAGTCCCCTTGCACAGAGCGGAGGGGAAGCACGTCCAGGAGGCATTTCGGACCACAGACAGTGGGAATCACCCGCTAAAATCGCCTCCTTCCACGGCGTTCCCAAACGGGATCCCTTCACTGGGTGCCTACAGTTCGTGGGGATTCATTTGGGCCCACCTGCATACGGCGATGAGGCGGTGAGGCCACTCACCTCCGCAAGCCCAGGGATGAAGATGGTGAGGGGAGCATGTCCCACGGATTTGATGATAATGAGATGTCTCTGAGAAGATGGATGAAATGGCCTCTCTGTGAAACAGAGAGCTTAACTTTTCAATTCCTCCTGTGTTGGGAAAGGCTAAGGATATTAATGAGTTACTGAAGAGGTACTTGAGTAGGTCAGTGCCATCATGTTGCAGGGGAATTTTATTTGTATTAAAAAAAGAAAAAAGAAAGGTGAAATGGGGTTAGCTTATAGAAAGTATTTGTTACGATTTCTGTGGGGGATCAGAGCATGTTAAGGTTTTCCATAGAATGACTTTGCCTTTGAGAGGAACCGGTTTGGAAGGATGTTACCTAGAGGAACCGGGGAGCCCTGCGTTCTACAGGAACGCTTTCTCACCATTTAAAAACAAATGGTACATGCTGCTTCCCTGCATAGTTAGAGGGGATGAGGTGTCATCTGCTGTGAAAGGACAGGATAAACGAGTTCTGGGTAAGGCCCGCGTACTTCTGTATGTTCTGGAAGAGACGGGTTCCTTGGTGGGAGTGACTTTTCACAACAGAGATTTCCCCCAAATTATTTTAGAATTCCTGTATTTGAGAAAGTTATTTTGGGAACCTGAACCACATGATCTGAGAAAATAGTAAGTCTTCCAGTGAACTGAAAAAAACCCTTTCTACAAGTGAGCTTGATCTCTCTGTTAACACCAGTTGTTTGAATGTTTCTGCAGCACTTGCGGTAAATACTTAAGACTCATTTTCTTCTCTTTATTTTTCCCTTCTCCACGGAAAGGAAGAACTTCGGCAGTCGTATCCTTTTCGTACCTTTATCCCTCGCGGCGGGAAGCTTCGGGCAGACCGGCTGAAATGCATTCACATCCTCCCGCCTGACAGGTCTGTGCAGTGCCGTTTCATTCTCCGAGTTTTCCACCCTCAGCACCATCCGTAGGAAGCCAAACTGGTACAACATTTCTTCCAAGGGAAGATGGGTTGTGCAGCATTAGCTGGGGTTTAGCTGAGATTTTGCCCTGATCGGCGCCCGCAGAGACCCCTTGAAGCCACCCCGCAGCCTTGGCGGAGGGCTGGCACCCCCGGGCTGTGAGCGTGTAACTCCCGTTTCCTTAGGAAGCAGGGCCAAAGGTGGGCTTTGTGGGCTGATGGACACGAACCCCGTGCAGCACACCTCACAGACCGCTGACACAGCCGACGAGAGGCAGTAAAAGCAGCTCTCAGTAGTACTTCCTCTTCTCTCATGTTAACTCACCCTACGTCAGGCCTGCCAAGATCTAAGTAACCTCCTAAGAGGAGCCACCCTTGGCTTCGGAGATTTCCATGCTTAGAACCTATCTAGTAATTTTTTGCTCCACCTTCCTTCAACTGGAAAAACACAAAAACCTGGTTCTGTTTTAATAAAATGAGCTTCTCTGGGAACTGGAAGACATCCACCGCGTGTGGGTGGGTGCTTCGTTCAGTTCCTGGAAAAGATGCCTGGGGTGAAGTCCCCGCTTGGAGGTATTCAGAGGATTTGAGAAGGGCTGGGGGAGAGAGGGGAGGATAAAGAATATTTTGAGTGTAGAAAGAGGGATGTGAGAATAATGAAATCTGCGCTGATAACTTCCTTGTGTAAATTACATTGTGGTACTGAAGGCTAAGAAAGGCATTTGGTATCATTTGATTATCAAAAATACGTACAAATGGCCAAACTTTCTGGATTCTTGGAGCCACATCCCAACTTCTCCCTGTGGTGGCGAGCCCCAGGATGTCCTGTGTGTGTCTCCTCTGGCACTGGCAGCGTGCGGCTGTGCCTCAAGAGAAGCGACTCCTTCAGTACGTGGGTGCCTGCTCCGCAGGAGCCGTGCCTGTCCCTGGGGGTGGGTGGGCTCCTGCAGACCTCTGGCTGTGAGGTCCCTCCTCTAAACTGGGCATTTCAGCTCCTGCTGGAGTCAGAGTGGGAGCCAGCAGGGGTTAACCCAGGCAGCGGCTCATCCCACCCTGCTCGGGAGCTGGGAAGGTGCTCATCTCACCTCGGCTGGCTCCAGCGGGAGCTCAGGCGGCCAGTTCAGGCTCGGGTAAGTGTCTGGTGGCTGATGGCCCTCACCTCGGGATGGCTACAGGGGAGATGACTGTCCTGAGCCTGCAAGCCATTTCTCCCTGCTGCTGCGGCAGCGTGTGCCGTGCTCCCTGTCCTTCAGGGGAGTTCTGAGGGTGTATTGAGGGTTGTGGAGCTCTCAAACACCTGGGCAGTGGAGCCACATAGACGAGTAACTAAAGCTAAATATTACCTTAGACTCTACAACAGCGAGTGTGGTGAGCAGGGAATTAAGAAGTCAGTTTCTTAGGAATTTACATCTCAAAGTTGAGCTCGTGGCCTTTCTCAGGCACGTAACAAAGACAGAGCACAGCTTTCAGACTTTCCATCATGTGGGCAGGAATGGGGCCCGCCTGCTTCACAGAGCCACCTATTTTCAAAAACTTAGAGGAATTGGATGTTTTGAGTCTGCCAGCCCTCTGTCAACTTGCTTCAGGCTGACTAATGGGTATAGGAGTTGTCTGGGGAAATGTACACACGCACCACCCCCCCCATTTCCTTAGGCTAACGAACGCCCCACTACCTACCAAATAAAATTTTTTAAAAAAGGAACTAAAGCCAAACCTGAAACAGCATGCTTTTGTCCTAGCTCCTGGTGTTTGTAATCTTAAGTTACTTCCTGAACCCTACCAGTAGGCCAGTCATAGCTGAACCTTTCAGTACAAAAAGGCGCAGCAGCGTATTTTGAGGTTACTGGGAAATGGCGATTTTATGAAATGGATCCCACCTCGTTGCTAGGAGAAATCCTTAACAGCAGCTATCAGCTGTCATCTGTTCCTTTACAGATTCTGCTTTATGTAAATGGGATTTATTACATCTTGTACTTCTTGGCAACCCTTGCAATGATTGTTTATAAAAGTAAGTTGCACGTATTCTAACACAGAGTGGGCTGTGTGCTTATGGTTGTGGTTTGTCAGTATGCTGACCCTATTTTCCTGGCTTACTTACACTGTTTCATTCTACAGGTCAAGTTTTCAGTTATCCAGATGATTTTTTGGCTCCTGATCTTGCATTGCTTTTCATTATGGCCATTCTTGAAGTGCTGCGGTTACACTTGGGTATGTCGTGTCATCACTGTGCCTTTTCAGTGGAATATAATCTTCAGTCATTCAGAAATCGAGTGTGTGTCAACACATGCAGTTTAGATGAGCAGATATTTGGGGACTGTTGTATGTCATTAAACTTTATCTGACTGATCAATAGATTTGGCCAGGGGGGTCAAATAGAATTTGCTCTTACATGAAATATAATCTATAATGCCATTAAAAGACAATAGCTGGGTTGTCAGAAAGCCAAGGCCATCCCTGAGCAGCGTACGGCTGCCACCGTGGCTGCACCTTTTCCTTTCACTCCTGAAGACACACGCCAGTTCCAGCATCTTCGTTTCACTAAGAACAGCGTAAAGGGCTTCCTGACCCCTGCCCAGAGCTTGCTAAAACTTCCTAAAGTCCTTTTTTTAAAAAAAAAAAAACCCTATTAAAATCTGTTCTCGATATTCCTGAGACATTTATGCAAGTTGGGTCTCTGTTGAATTCAGCTGACTTGCTGTAGGGGTGCATTTAGCCTGCTGCCTTAAAGCTCTCTGCATGTGTTTGCTTGGAGCCTGCTGGATGAATAAAGCAGCAAGTTGCAAGTCTAATGTAGTAGCAAAACTACTGAGATGAGCTTGGAAATGAGGTGCAAGGAAGAGGTAAGTGCCTGCAGCTTCTCCACAATGGCACAGTCATTTGAACTAGGACAAGGTTAGCAGGGAATACGGAAGGTTCTGTATCGCCTCAGATTTGAAGCCCGGATGGGTGCTCTTAGCTGCGCACGGCCGTCACCAAGCTGTCACGCCAAGGGCAGGGCTGGGGGAAAGTTTGATGGCTGATGGAGGAGCTGAGCGATGAAACGGCTGCAGCTTCAGAACGGGTGGTCTGCGGTAAGGAAAGGCCGGCGGCACGACTTCGGTCACCGACTGAGTGCTCTTTGGGTTACCCTTGGTGAGCATGGAGCGGACCGTCCGTTGGTGCTGGGGTTTGTTCTCCCATTCACTGGCAGAGCCTTGATTCAGGCCTGTATTTCCGTGTACCCTGAGCTGTAAGAGCTAGAGCTGTTTCTGAACAGAAATACTCTACGCTTAGGGCTTGTGATATTGTCCAAAGAAATCAAAGACTTATGTCAGCTTTTTGTTTCCTCCAAGGTTCGAGGGGTAACCTGACAGAAGAAGAGGCTCCATTAGGGCTCAGTCTTGTGATCACGGTGGGCAGCGTGATTCTGTCGGTGTATTTCCTGGTGTGGCAAACTTACGTGCTGAAAGCAGACGTCATTATAAACGCTGTCCTTCTCCTTACCTACGGGCTTGAGTCAATATTCAAGGTCATGGCCATTGCTGCTTTCGTCAGCTAAACCCCAGCAGTTTTCAACGTATTTTCCACACATTTCTTCCACAAAAGACTGGTGTTATATTTCAAATATTTAATTCTTTTGCACATAAAAATCTTGTAAAACTTCCCTCTGTTTAAAGTACAAATTTCTGAAGGGCAGAGATCTCCCGGAACGGCAGCTGTGTCACACTGTCCCACCAGTCAGCTTGCGTGTGGGCAAAGGCAAGAGGTGATTCAGCAAAAACGCCTAAAACGCTCTGGTAGTCGTCAGGGCTCGGCACTAAATATTCCTTCCCAACACGGAACAGGAGCCAGGGCATCACCTCCCGACCCGCTGCCGCGATGACGCGCGTTTGGACGGCGCAGCAGCCACGGCCGACCCCAGTGACACAGAAATGAAGGAGGACTCGCTCCTGCCCTGCCGCATCCCCGTTCGTGTCTGAGGGCCCAGTTTCTCTTCTGCTCTCCTTTGGGTTTTCGGCCCCCAGCGGTAATTTCCCTGACGTTAGTAGGGCAGGACCTGATTGATCCCAGCGGGAGGGAGCGGAATTGAGTTCTGCGCGTACCCGGAGAGCCGAGCGACGGGGTCGGGGCAGCCGGGGCTCGCTGCCGCGGAGGCCAAAGGCAGCGCTGGGAGGGTCTGGCTGGTTAAAGGGGGTGCCCTGAAGGTGAGCGTAAGCGCTCACCATTCCCTCACCCTTCTGTCCTATTTAAAAGTCCAACAGACTGTTGTCGGGTGTACTTCTGTTTGGTGTTAAATGCGTTTATTTTCATGACTCTGCAAAATTACTACATTCCAGCCTTGTCTTTTAAAAGAAGAATGGGTCAGATTTTTTTTTACTGTATCAAAAACATGTATTAATGTAAAACTTGAGGCGTTTGGGGGCTTTGTACAAGCAGGTTTTATATTCAGAATTTCCTATTTTTGTATTTATTTATTCAAATAAATCCTGTTTTCGATCTAAGAAGTGTTTGAAGCGCAGAGCAGCTCGTTCAGATCCTAGGCTACAGCTAAGCTACACAAAGGAGGACTTGGGCGAGACTGGATGCGTGCACAAGTCCCTCCTGATCCTGCTGTATGTAGGCCACCTGCCCTGGGGAAGAGCGCCCGAGGCCTGCGCTCATCTGCACTAGCCAAGGGCTGAAAACACAGTAGCACGGGCCCTGTGCCGCCTCAGCCGCACCGCTGCGTGCTGTGGTGGCGGGAGGGGACACAGTTCCTGCGGAGGGACCCGGTTGCATCCCTCGGTCGTACCCAGGGGACCCCGTCCAAGGTAACGGCAGCTTCTGGCTGCGTTGCGCCCACAGTCCGAGTCGAAGCACCCCCTTGGCACGAGTCCCCTCGGGCCAGATCCTGCCCCCGCCGCGGCACAGCCCCCCGTTGGTGGGCAGCAGGAGGAAGGCTGCACCCGCCGCCACGACAACATAAAAGCAGCAGAACTGGGTGCTGAGGAGCAGCCAGGAAACGGAATGACCCGACGTTTCTGTGCTTAATCGGCGCGAACCAAACACCCACCCATTTGTCCTCCCAGATCTGCTTGGCATAACGGAATGCGCTCATCACATGCTTGCTATGAGGAGGGACAAACCCACCGAGCTGGATCGTCCCCATCGAGGACGAATGCACACCGAGAAAAGCCCTTTCTGCCTGCGTACAAATAAAAGCCCAAACTTTTCCTGGTGTTGACGCCTGCCTTACGCAGAGGTCGGGCAACAGAACGTCTGACAGGTTTTAAAGGAAATATTGCAAAGTGGGATTTTTTTTTTTACCTGAATGCAGGTGGTAGGGCAGATGGAGTCACAGATGTTCACTTCAAGTGGCAGCCTCTGCGCTTTACCCTCCTTCCTTCTCACGGTGCTCACTACAAACAAAACAAACACCAAATATTAGCGCGACCGGAGGCAGCAGAGACCCAGGGTGTCGATTCAGGAGACGCCAGTAAAGCCAGGGGAAGGTGTTCCTTCCCCACCACAGATCACCACCCCCTCAGCTACGGCCCTACAACCATTTGTGATGCTGCACCGTAAAACTGGATCCCTGGCCTGATCCGTGCAGAAAAGAGCCCTCAGAAATGGTTCTGATGGAGGTGTTCATTAGGTGATGGCTGCCATGTTTCTGCCTGTGCCCACAGCACGGTACGAGTTTGGGACAGAGTTGGGCCACACAGAGTAAAGCTGCCTCCTCCTCAGTGGTTTATAAATAAAACAGTGGTTTATATAGATCTCTCCGTTGTAAAACGTTGTGAATCCTCTGCTCCCTAACCGTCACCTGGATGAAAACCGAGCACCAGCAGAGAGTGACAATGGTTGCTGATGGTCAGCAACGGGGTAAATATACACATATGATAATAAACATACATTTTTGAGCTCATTTCAGAGCACCACCTGATGGCTTGCAGACTGGTCCCAGAGCCCTGGACGGCTGTCCGTGCTTGCTGGGGGTCAGCTGCCACCACCCTGGATTTGCACCCTCGAAAGGGCAGGACAGCTCTGTTTCAGTTTTCCAGTTTAAGATAAAATTGCCCATGAACTTTTTCCTGATTAGATGAGCAGATATTGGGGTACTTCTGCTGCGGACAGCCCCCCACTCTGTGATGAATGTAGGAGAAGGATGAAGAAGTCTGTGAGCTTCAGACAACTCCTTCGGCTTAGGCATTGCCAGGCTTTGAAGGGGAATTGTCATCTACGCTGCTGACCCTGATTTCGTGACAGCTTCTCTCTGTGCCAAGCTGGTACAAAGACCCAAAGGATCGGGCCGTAGCCTCAGAGAGCTCCTCTAATCAGGAGCTCCTTTCCAATCCGTTCCCACTGTTCAGAGAACCAGGGCACGGCATAGCGAAGCCATTGATAATATTTGCCAGACATAAGATTGCGGGAGCTTTTAATTATGAGGCCCAGCCCTGCTGAAACAGGACGAGCAAGTTGGATGAAAACGGCATTAAAAATTTAGAGGAACACATATTTTGAGGAGCTCGGTTTGGGTGTTGTTTACTCTGCAGGGAAGAAGTCTTTGTTCTCAAGCCATCACAGGGGTGTCTGCCGCCAACCTGATTTAAAAGGCTGATCCCGAGAGGCAAGTTACCCTCCTGGGATTCCAGTCTCGGAGATAGCCTGAGAGATAGGGCTTTACTGGTCCATGGCTCTTCGGTGTTCCTCAGCAGGCAGAAACAGCGCCCAGCCCAAACCCCAGCTGAAGCGGCGCGGTCCCCCAGCCACCGCCGTGGCTTTGTGGCAGGGGCAAGAGCCGTGGCCGACGGAGCGAGGCTGAGGACACGCGCTCATTCGGTTCCACACGTGGGAGCCAAGTCAGCAGAGCGGGCGTACGGGCACGGCCACCGCACAGCGGGGGAACTCCCCTCCTGCCGGTTGCCTCTGGCCCGCTTAGACCAGCATCGGCTGTTGCAGGGAAGATGTAATAAGCTCCATTGCGGTTTTCTTCCCTGCCCAGAGGAAAAGTTGCCTCCTCTGCTCAGCAGGTAGAGATTTCCTATGCGGCGCAGCACCTCGAGGGAGCCCACTGTGCCTATCTTCATCACCAACGTGGAGCCGGGGCTGCCAGACAGCAAGCCTTAAACCTTCAGTGGCTTCTCCAACGGAATCCTGCCAACTCCCTGTTTGCATCCCGGGAAAGCCAGCCCAGCCCAGCGGTCCCACTGCAATGCCCCAGTGGCACAGGATGCATTTCAGGGGGCAGGGATCTCCTGCACAAAACCTTTCCACTGGCAAGGCTCGCCGGGCTCCGGCAGCGCTGACGTTCCCCCCGCGTTTCCCTTCTGTTGAACCGATATCCCCTCCCCTGCCTGGTGGCGCGGCTGGCGTTCCCTAAACGCTGCTTCTCCCAGGGCTGGCCATGTTTTCATGGTGCACCCTGTACCGAGATCCCCCCGGGATCTCACCGACATCGCGGCGAGGAGGATGACAGGGCACTGGGCGGGTGCGTCACACCGAGTATTGGTTCACATTCTCCCGCAGCGGAAGAGGTCGTTCTCCTGTCAAAACCGAGCTGCCAAAACCGTAACTGTCATGCAAGGAACGGGCTCTCCCC